TCCCATGCATTTATGTCAAATATGCCTGCAGGCCAACTAAAATGAAGCCAAGCAGTGTGTTTGGTTTGAATTTTTGGATTAAATTTTTTTGAAAATTGATTTTTTTAGTTTTTATGTTTTTTATTTTTAGTGAATATTTTTAAAATTTTAACAATTTTTTTTTACTTTTTTAGATACACCTTACTTAGATGTATCTAAAAAAGTAAAAAATTATGAAAAAATATTTAAAAAATTAATAAGTACATAAAATAACAAAAATGTTGATTCTTGTAATTTTTTTTGTATTTTTATATTTTTGGTATTTAGTGAATTTTAAAAATATTTTTTTATAATTCACAATTTTTTTACTTTTTAGATGTATTTATGTTAAGTGTGTCTAAAAAGTAAAAAAATTATTTAAAATATTGAAAAAATTTAATAAAAATAAAAAAATACAAAAAATAAAAAAGTAACATCTTTAAAAAGTATTTTTTGAAAAGTAAAAACATACGATATGTTTCACAAAACAACTTAGTTTTTGTATCTACATCAACTTAATGATTACCAATGCATTTATATATATATATATATATATATAAACACCGACCTTGAAATCGTCAGTTGAGTGTTGGGGGGAAGGAACATAAGGCTGTGATTGTGGAGGTAGCCATGGTAGCCTTCCTTTTAACTAGTCTGTGCGTTTTCTTCCCTTTGGCTATATTCATAATAAAGTTCCTGCACAAGGTATGGTGGACTCCGATCCGGGTACAATATATGATGGGTTTGCAGGGAATCAAAGGCCCTTCTTATAGCTTCCTTCATGGAAGCACCAAGCAGATCATGAACATGAGAAAGGAATCCTTCGCCACTGCAATGGACTTATCACATCATATATTCCCAAGAATTATGCCTCACATTGATGCATGGATCCAGCTATATGGTAAAACTTCTGTTAGTATTTTCCGTCGCAGAACTTTCTTTTTTCTTTTTATCTTCGATAAAGAAGTATAGGAGGGGGAGACCAACGCTACTGGACTTAACCATAAGAGTCCCTGCTAGCTTTAGAGCTTCGACAAGTTATAATATCTTTGGTAATACTTATCAATAATCAAGTTCGTTACTTTTATTTTAATTTTGGTTATATTTGGAGCAGGTGAAAATTATCTTCAATGGCGTGGTCCTCAACCTCAATTAGTTGTCACTGAAACTCAGCTGATTAAGGAGATATTGAACAACAAAGATGGAGCCTTTGTTAAAACGAAGCCTAGTAGTTACGGTAAGAAGCTAATTGGAGATGGGATTGTAGTAACTCGAGGTGAAAAATGGTCCAAGTTACGTAAAATCTCCAACTATGCTTTCCATGCGGAGAACTTGAAGGTAATTCTTCTTTTTACATCATCGAATTTTCTGTTCGTGAAGGATGATTAGTTATGAGGTATGCTGTAGATATTGTACCAACAATTTCAGAGAAGGGCTCGTGTGTGTGCAGGAAATGGTCCCAGCAATGACAGCAAGTGTGGAAACCATGCTACAAAGATGGAGACATCGTGAAGGAAAGGCAATTGAAGTATACGAAGAGTTCAAGCTGCTAACATCAGAAATTATTTCACGAACAGCTTTTGGAAGTAGTTATTTGGAAGGGAAGAATATATTTGATATGTTGATTAAGTTGAGCACAATCATATCAAGGAATGAATTCAAGATTCACTTTCCTGGCATCGGGTACACTCCTCTTCTTGAATTTCAATCCTCTCTATTTAGTAGATTAATAAGTTAAGGCTCAAAGCATAAGAAAGCATGAGAGTATCAAGAGTCCTAACTAATTTACATGATCTACGATCCTTGGGATTCCCCTAGTAGCATTTACTTGCACTATAATATATAAGAGTTTTAGGTACCGAACTTTTTTGTTTTGAAAAGTGAAAATTTTGGTGAAAAAAAATTTTAGAAGACAAATTATTGTCATCATGAGAGCCAAAAGTGAAAATTTTGGTGAAAAAAAATTTTAGAAGACAAATTATTGTCATCATGAGAGCCGTCACTAACGCTTCATTTATTTTGGCAAAAAAGATTTTCTACAAAAAAAAAATTTCAAAAAACATTTTCTATAGAAAACTCTTTCGGAAAATGCTTTCCACATAAAAACTTTTTTTAATGTTTGGTTGCGTTCTTGAAATTAATGTACTAGCTGTTACATTAGTGGTGGTGGTAGTGGCGGCAGTAAGGTGGAGGTAAAAGTGGAGGTGTTGGAGATAGTGGTGGTGGTAGTGATGCAGCGGTGGTGGCGGCAGTAACAGTATTAGTGTGGTGGTAGTAATGTGGTAGAGATGGTAGTGGCGGTGGCTATGGGACAGTGGAGGTTGTGGCGGTGACTATACTGATGGTGGTGGAGGTAATGGTAATAGTGGTAATGTGGTGGCAATAATAAAATTTAAGTTTGGAAAACGTTTTTTATCTTTTAAAAGTGAAAAACATTTTATATCCAAATATGATTATTTTTCCATTGATCATAGAAAATATTTTCCGTTGACTTTTGTTTTTTATTGTACCATACAACAAAAAATGCGGAAAATATTTTTCTGGAAAACATTTTTGTCTAAACAAACAAAGCTTAAAAGATCATCCCAAAAAGTTAAAAAAAAACCTTTTGCAACAAAATTTTGAAAATGTCGCGTGTAAGTATACTTTTAGGAACAAAATACTTTAGTGTCAAAATGATTATTCTATTTTTTTTTCTTTCTAAAATTTTGGTCACAAAAGAACAATAATTCATCACTAAATGTTTAATTTCATCACTAAAAATATAAAAATGACACTGCTAGCAACTATAATATTTCATTCGTAAAAAGTCTATTTCTAAAACCTTAATTTGTTATAGTGGTGGCATCAAACATGTCTCTTTTACGTGCCAATTAATCAATTCCAAATTTGCTGAAAATTTGTGAAGTCAAATGATGACATTGAGTTGGTATCAAAAGTCCTAACTAGTTTACATGGTCTAGGATCTTTGGGGCACCCTTGCTAACAACTACTTGGCATCAGACATGCCAACTAATCAATTTCCAATTTGCAGGAAATTTGTGAAATCAAACGATGATACTGAGTCAGATAGAATAGAACACGTAATTCGAGACTTAATCATAACGATGATACAAAAAAGAGAAGAGAAAGTGGTGCAAGGAAAATCGGACAACTACGGGAGTGACTTTCTTGGATCACTTATAAAGTTTTACCATGATGCTGATGATAACAGTAATATTTCAATTGACACTGTGATAGACGAATGCAAGATATTCTACATTGCTGGACAAGAAACCACTAATGGCTTACTAGCTTGGAGCATTTTTCTCCTAGCAATCCATTCAGATTGGCAAGAGAAAGCAAGGAAGGAGGTGCTTGAATTGTTTGGCCAACAAAACCCAAGTCCAGAAGGCATCGCAAGATTGAAGAGTGTAAGCAATTTCAACTCTCTAATCATCATCCATTAATGTATGCATATTATCATTTCATATCAAATGCAGACGATATCAATACTAAACTTCTAAGACAACACAAAACACTTCTATCTTAGAGGCACCTGACAAAACTCGTGAAGTCAATTGCTGGACTAGCCTAGAGTGGTTAGTCTTCTACGTAGAAATTGGTCATGCGTTTTACATGTTATCATAGTTAGGTCATTCCTATGCCAAGATGGGGATGTCCCATATTGGATAAAGATGATGTCCATAATGGACTTATAAGATGACGCAAAATGAGTCTATCTTATAGGCTCTTTTTGGGCCTGGATCCTAAAGGGAGAAATTCGTGAGACTGTTGTTGGGTTGGGATATAGAAAAACATTTTTTTAGGTACAGTTGGGTCGTAAATCTGGCAATGCGAAATAAGATTAAGTTTCTAATCATTTATTTTTTTTCTTGTAGATGAGCATGATCCTAAATGAAACTCTAAGGTTGTATAGTCCAGCAGCCAATATGTGGAGAAAAGTTGAGAGGGAAGTCAGATTGGGAAAGCTTGTTCTTCTAGCCAATATGGATGTCTATATTCCATCTCTAGCACTCCACCATGACCCTAATATATGGGGAAAAGATGCTCACCTTTTCAAGCCAGAGAGATTTGCCGAAGGGGTGGCTAAAGCAACTAATAACAACACAACAGCATTCATTCCATTTGGTTTAGGACCTCGAATGTGTGTGGGTTTGAACTTTGCAGCAGCTGAAACCAAGATAGCGCTCTCAATAATTCTGCAACGCTATACATTCACCCTCTCGCCAACTTATGTTCACTCACCAATGCAAATACTTACTATTCGCCCAAAGCATGGAATTGAAGTCATATTCCATGCATTGTAAATTTCAGTTGTAGCTTTTCTCTTATCAATGTGAGCAAACTCGTAAACTGTTGACAATATATGTTCTGTATTTGTATGTGTTCTGTATCTGGGTGTTGTTCTGTATATGTGTGTTCTACTCTGTGTTGCTGTCTTGCTGATGCTGTGCTGCTGGTCTGTGTAAATGGTGTGTTCTTGGTGAATGCTATGATCATGGTCTGTGCCAGATTAGTTTGAATGCTTTGCAGTTTTGTGTGGGAGTTTTGGGGTGATTGGTTCTGCTGGTTTTTAGAGTAGAGATCATCAACAAGTGATGATCTGGTTTTGTTGCTGAAATGATGATCTGCTGCTGGTGGGAAATAATCTGATGAAGCAAAATTCTCTGCAGGCTACTGCTGTTATGTGGATGTTTTTTGTTTATGTTGATGGGGTTGAGCCGCCTTCCACAAGTTCACTCTCTTGCTGCTGTTGAACTGATGGGGTTCTGTTATGGATTGTTGGGGTTTTCCTCTGCCCTTGCACTGCTGGGGTTGTGTTGCCTCTTTGATTTAAATTGTAGTTTTGTTTTGGTCCCTTTTCCTCATAGGCATGAGCACTTTGTGAAAAATGATATTAGGCATGAGGACTCTGTTGTTTGGGCTCTGGATATCAGTCCTCATGTTTTATAGAAGAATAAGTGATATCAACTCTCAAACCGAATGATTTGGTATGTGATTTTCTGAAAATATAACTATATTTCACCTATATTTTACACACTTTTTTTTCCCTCAAATTTACAAACCAAATACAATTTTTAAAGTATTTATATTGACACTGTAACGCGACCGTCTAGCGCGAAGCGCGTGGGGGGCTAACTAGTTAAATAGAAAGGAGAATGCTGGAGACCCCCAACTCCAAGGCACCCCCAGCACTCCCGTTCTCTTAAACGTCTAGTGTTTTCAATAATATATATATAACATTTTTATACCATAAAGGAGAACACAATATGCTAAATAGGACAAACCAGCATTGAGGCATGGGTTGGGACACTTGAGACAATAGGTTTGTCTTTATTTTTTTACCTCTTGAAAGTTTTGCTTCATCCTCCTCCAAGCCAAGGTTCTAAATATCGGCCGGTACGTGCCGTACCGGCCGGTTCGTACCGGAAAATGGAAGTGCCAAGTCGGATACTCACCGGTATACCGGTGAAAATGAATTTCGCTTCCGTAGCGGCCGATTCCCGATACGTATCGGCCTGAATCTGATACGTGAGCGATACAGCTCCGATACGGTCCGGTACGGCTGAATAAATGGAAAAGGAGGAGAAAAAAAGAAGAAGAGGGAATTAGGATGGATTTAGAAGAGAAGTATGTGAACCTGTTGAGAGATGGAGTGGTGAGCAACCTAGTAATCCTGGTGGAGGATGTACATACCCACAAATGATGCCGCTGCGGCGCCGGCGAAGAACGACGCCATTCTCAATCTCAGAACGTAACCCATCTCTCTCTCTCTCTCCCCCCTTCTTCACCTGGGCTATGCTCGAATCTGATCAATAATGCTTTTAACCAAACAGGCGCTAGAAGGAGCGACGTCGTTTATGGTTACTAACCAAATTTTTCTTTTTTCTTTTTTTTATAGGGAAACTACCAATAATTTACATTTCTATCGAGGATTATTAAAAATAAATTTTAATAAAATTTTTACTAAAAATAATATTTTGTGATAATTATATATATATTGCTAAAAATTGATAATTAATGATTTTTTTATCATAAATTTATAAATTATCGCTAAAATTTACCATTAGTAATTTTTTTGGGATGAATTTTTTAACCTGTCGCTGAAAGTTAAAAATTAGTGTATTTTTTGTTACGATTTTTTTTAAACTGTCACTGAAATTTATAATTAGTAATATTTTTTATGACAATTTTTAAACCGTAGCTGAAAATTAACAATTAGTAATTTTTTTTAATAATATTTGATGAATAACATCATTAATTATCATAAGATTTATTGAATAATAAATTTACCTATTATAACTTACACATAGACTACAATTTTTTTTTTCTTTTCCCTTTCTTTCTTCTTTTTCCATCCTAATTTTGATTAAAATGTGATAAATTAAGGCTAAAAGAGTCCAAAAAATGCATAAAATTGAGTTTTAGAGAGATTGCTAATGATTTTTGAAATTTCACAGCTGCGACGCCCAATACCCGATACATACCGGTCGATACTACCGATACAGATACTCCGCGATCGATACCGTTACGTTACCCGATACCGCGATTTAGAACTATGCTCCAAGCTTTATAAAATCATACCAATGAAGTTAACATTAGTCTTTGGGTTCTTATTGACTAGCTGAGTCACCCCTAAATGTTATGCTCATAACCAAAATCGCATATCTTATAATCACTAATCATATATCTCATTACCTTTACCCACATATGTTATAATCACATCTCAAAACCAGCACCCTTTGTTTCATAATCAATATCACATATATCATACGTCTTGGTCACAAATATATATGTGACCAAAATGAAGCTAAATTTTTGTGTGGAATATTGTGAAAAGAAAGTACAAAAAAGGAGAAACAATGCAACAATTTTTCCACTCACTTCTAGACACATACAAAGGTCACATGAGAAGTTAAGATTGAATGCTGACACTCTTACACTTTTGGTGAATATTGACTATCAATCAATATGGTAAAGCTTGATTTTGGCGGTATAATTGGAGTATTGATCAACAGGAAAAGTCTATAGTACATTTTGTTAAAAAAATGTACGGTGCATAAAAAATCAATGGCTAGGATTGAGCCACATCATTAAAAGTGACCTGCTAAATAGGTCACTTTTTATAGTTATGAGTTAAAATCATATTTTTTCATAACTATAATCAAATTGATCATAACTTAGTTATAACCACATCTCATAACCAACACCATTTTGTTCATAACTAATATCACATATTTCATAATCATAATCACATATCTCATAACCAACACCACTTTAAACATAACAAATATCACACATCGCATAACCATTGATCACATATCTCATAACTACTACCCGCATAAATCATAACCACATCTCATAAGTAGTCCCTTTGAGTCATAACCAACATCACATATCTCATAACCACTAGTCACATATCTCGTAGCCAATACCTTTTTGTCATAACCAACATCACATATCTCATAACCACTAATCACATATCTTATAATTAACACTTTTTTACTCATAACCACACCACTTTGATCATAACCAACATCACATATCTCATAACTACTAGTTACGTATCTAATAACCACCATCACATATCTCATAACCACTAGTTACATAACCAATATCTTATAACTCATAACCATTAATACATATAGCACAACCTCATCCTTTGACACCACTTTGCTCATAATCATTACCCACATATCTCATAACCACTAACACATAAAGCATAACCAAACACCCTTTGACACCACTTTGCTCATAACCATTACCCACATATCACATAACCACTAACACATATAGCATAACCAAATACCCTTTGACACCACTTTGCTCATAACCATTACCCACATATCACATAACCACTAACACATATAGCATAACCAAATACCCTTTGACACCACTTTGCTCATAACCATTACCCACATATCACATAACCACTAACACATATAGCATAACCAAATACCCTTTGACACCACTTTGCTCATAACCATTACCCACATATTTCATAACCACTAACACATATAGCATAACCAAATACCCTTTGACACCACTTTGCTCATAACCATTACCCACATATTTCATAACCACTAACACATATAGCATAACCAAATACCCTTTGACACCACTTTGCTCATAACCATTACCCACATATTTCATAACCACTAACACATATAGCATAACCAAATACCCTTTGACACCACTTTGCTCATAACCATTACCCACATATTTCATAACCACTAACACATATAGCATAACCAAATACCCTTTGACACCACTTTGCTCATAACCATTACCCACATATTTCATAACCACTAACACATATAGCATAACCAAATACCCTTTGACACCACTTTGCTCATAACCATTACCCACATATTTCATAACCACTAACACATATAGCATAACCAAATACCCTTTGACACCACTTTGCTCATAACCATTACCCACATATTTCATAACCACTAACACATATAGCATAACCAAATACCCTTTGACACCACTTTGCTCATAACCATTACCCACATATTTCATAACCACTAACACATATAGCATAACCAAATACCCTTTGACACCACTTTGCTCATAACCATTACCCACATATTTCATAACCACTAACACATATAGCATAACCAAATACCCTTTGACACCACTTTGCTCATAACCATTACCCACATATTTCATAACCACTAACACATATAGCATAACCAAATACCCTTTGACACCACTTTGCTCATAACCATTACAAACATATCTCATAACCACTAACACATATAGCATAACCAAATACCCTTTGACACCACTTTGCTCATAACCATTACAAACATATCTCATAACCACTAACACATATAGCATAACCAAACACCCTTTGACACCACTTTGCTCATAACCATTACAAACATATCTCATAACCACTAACACATATAGCATAACCAAACACCCTTTGACACCACTTTGCTCATAACCATTACCCACATATCTCATAACCACTAACACATATACCATAACCAAACATCCTTTGGCACCACTTTACTCATAACCATTACCCACATATCTCATAACCACTCATAACCATTACCATTTTATTTATTTTTTATTTTTATATATATAAATTAACTCCTCCCTCCCAAGTCCTATAAATACCACCCCTCTCACATTTTATTTCTCACAAACAAATCTGTCTCTCAAACTCTCATTATCTCTAAACTCTCAACTCTCTCAATTAATTTTGAAGTGTCATCCCTAAGTGACAATTGCAATTGATCACCTATCTCTATTTTAGATTTATTTTTAGTCATAGTATCTTCATTAAATATAATAGAAATAGTAATGTACATACGATATACTTTTTAAAATATCTATATACACTTATAGACGCTTATAATTTAACTAAATTTTAATAAAAAATATGCTGATAAAAATTATCTATGACGTGATTTTATTTTGTTGCACTAAATAATTTTTCTCCTAAATTTTTTTCCCAACTTTTCTTCATTTTTTTCTCCACTCAATTTTCTTTCTCTTGATTTGTCCTAGTTGTGCCTGAGCTCTCTCTATTTCTTAATCAGACTTCTCTATTTCGCTGAATCATCGAACGACCATCGTTGATAGTTCTTCCTCACTGGATTCTTCTTCTCTATACTCTTGTGTCTCTGCAATAGATCCTTGAACTCGTCACTATTTTCTTTGTCTATTTCAACACTATTCATTTTGGTGACATTTCTTTATCTAGTAAATACATTTATCTCAAAACTCTGGCTCTTTCGCATTAATATGTCATACATATACAAACCTTTGGCCGTAGTTATGATTTTATCAATTTGTACATATGTTATAGAACTGTTGGGATATTTTTTTCAATTAAATTTTTGGGATATTTACCGATAAATCCCATCCAACAGACAGTTGCACCAATTGGTCCCAACGTTGCATCTGTTGTTCTAATTAGTCCTATGGGCATTGCTTCCGACCCCCAGTGGGGGTGACCCCCAGTGGCACCCCCAGTGACGTGGCAGCGTGTGGTTGGCTGAAATCCAAAAAAAAAAAAACTATTTTTGCACCAATCAGGGACGACCCCCAGCACCCCCAGCTGGGGGTCTAAGTCATTTTCCTTAGTCCTATTAGTGGGGAAATATCTTCCCGTTTGATCCTATTTCTCTTATTTGGTAACATTTAGTGGTCAATTATACCCTTCCTTTTCTATTAGGATGTTTTTGGTGGGATTAGTTGTGCATATTTGGCAAGTCAAAAATTGTAGTAGAAGATGTTTCCTCCATTACGTTAGGGTTTTGTGATTGTTGTGACGGGGTGTGTGGGAGGTGCTTTGTGTGCCGGACTGACGGAGAATCGGAATTCCGCTGTCGACATTCTTGGAATTCTGAAGGCATGGTTTGTTTTTGGTGATTGCGTGTTAGGATAGCTATGTTGCGTACATATGTCAGTTCAATTGTATGGTGTGCCACACCGAGGTCATTTGTCTGTGTTGGGCACATTCGTATTCAATGTTTTTATTGGGTTCATGTGTTTAAATCAGTGTGTGTGGTGCCACATTGGGGTCATTCATTTTAAATGGGTTGTTTCAGTTCAATGCAAAAAGTACAACAAGCCTTAGTGTACTTACCAATGTTGTGGCACCCAACAAACACCCTGAGCATGCCACGTGGCGAGCCATACTCCAAACCTCTAACACATGGGTTGTGGCAGGTGACCAACACCTATTCCAAAAACATAATATAACACCAAATAACACGGACACATGCGTAATCAACAATCTGGGTCTTTCGTGAATGTGAGCTTTATTCACAAGGATTTGCACAATTATATTCAAGCCGAGCGCAAAATAGAAATGAAGGATGGTGACGCGGAGTGTGCTTTGGCTTACTTATGTGCAAAAGCTGATGCTAACCCTTACTTCTTTTACAAGTATGACAAGGATCAAGAGAACCGGCTTGGCAAATTATTTTGGGTAGATTCAAGGTCTCGCCTAGACTTTGCTGCATTTGGTGACGTGTTGGTCTTTGATACGACTTATAAAACGAATGCATATAACAAACCTTTTGTTATTTTCGTCGGGGTCAATAACCATTTTGAAACCACCATATTTGCATGCAACTTGCTTGTTGATGAGACAATTGCAACATACACATGGGTTTTGCAGAAGTTGTTAGAAACCATGGATAACAAAAGACCGGTGTCAGTGTTGATAGATGGGGATATGGCCATGCGTGAGGCAATACAAAAAGTCTTTCCAAATGCCAAGCATCGTCTATGTAATTGGCATATGCACAGAAATGCCAAGCGAAATGTTCGAGTCGATGGATTTGAAGGACATTTCAAGCATCTCAAGGATCTTGATGCGAATGAGGTTGTATTTGAGGAAGCTTAGAGTAAGATGGTCAGAAAATATGGCCTTCAAAATAACAAGTGGGTATCAGACACCTACAACAACAAAGGCATGTGGGTTCAGTCATATTTGCATGGTCATTTTTTTGCTGGAATGAAGAGTAGTCAGTGTTGTGAGGGTATGCATGCTTTTTTCAATGAGTGCCTCAAATGAAAACTGAAACTATTCGAATTTGTTAGATGTTTTGACATGGCCCTTTATCGATTACGGAACAAAGAAGCGGATGCTGAGGCAAAAACTGACAACACTGATCCTTGTCTTACCATAATACTTTAGCCTCTAGAGAAACATGCAGCAACCATCTTTACCAGACGTTTGTTCTTAATGTTTCGTAATGAAATAATTGAGGAAGCATTGTTGATTTTTGATGGAAGGAAAGAGGAGTTCGATCATCGCATATACAAATTTTCAAAGTACACTGAATTTGGTTCCACATGGGAAGTGTCATACCATCCCGCAACTAGCATAATGAAATGTAGTTGCAAAAAGTTTGAGTTCTTTGGACTTCCTTGCAGCCACATGATTTCTGTGATGAAATACGAACACATGACTGAAATTCTCCCAAGTTGTGTGATGTATCGTTTGACAAAGCAAGCAAGAAAGGTTGGTGAACAACATTGCCAAGCCCAATTCTCTAGCACTCTCAGACAGGAGACGCGTTTTGGGATACTTTGCTCTTCTTTTACTGAAATGTGTTACTATGCCTCACAAACATCTGAATGATTTGAAGAGGCTAGGAATGCATTTTTCACTATGACATGTCGGATGAAGCAGTTTTGCATGGCCAAGGGAACTAATGTTGATGAAGGAAAAAGTTCACTGCCGCCATTTGGGGTTGGGGATTCGAAAGTAGTGAACACGAAGGGGAATACTGGGGGATCCTACATGGCTAAACCTCGAAAGCCAAGGCAATGCCAGTGTTGCAGGTATACATTATATTGTGCTTTGTGTCTTAATTTTGTTATTGTGAGGTAGTGTTGACATTTTTGTTCTCTTTAATGATTGGTGATTTACTTGACAATGTAGGGTCGTCGGCCACACAAGGAGAACTTGCCCCCAAAACAATCATAAAACGGGACAAGTGGGTAGCAATTTGTTTGAGGAATACGATGATTATGATCCAATTGGTACTCCCACCCCTTTTACACCGAAGCGTCCCAGGAATAATATTAGGCCATGTAAGACCCACCCTGTGAAGAGACGACTTTTTGTCACTAATGTGGATACGTCTCCAGTGCAGTTGAGCAAGGATGTTAATGACTTGCGTAGTTGCGATGCACAAGTCGTCCAAAATTCAGCGTTCATTGATGCGGATACGTCTCTAGGTGATTACTTTTATGGCATCTTTTCAGTTCAAATTATGTTCATTTTGCTTACATTTGCTTTGCAAATTTTATGTGGCTGCTTAATTCTAATTTCTTGATATGCCAAGATAGATTTTAGCTAGAACATTTTGATGTCATAACTAATTATGATGTTTACAACTTGATTATGAAAATAAATAATTTACGAAAACAAAATGACAAAAGAGTGTGTAATGACCAATATATCAAAATTCAATTTGTTATGATTTGAATCATAAATTTCAAGTGAACAAACCTTAACGACAATTTAATTTGTTTTTGCAGGTGTTGCTATGGGTAATAGTTGATATGATCGAGCAGGTGATAATGGAAGCTAAACTAAGATTTTTTTAAATTTTTTTTTGAGGACTTAAATCTGTTAGTATTTTGTATAAATACTCTTAAATGATGGTTGATGGATATTTGTTTTGCTGTATGGAAGTTCATATTTTGTATGCACACTTCTTTTTTTCCTTGAAGAAAGAATTTTGTAAGGAATTATCATTCACCAAACGAGGTTGTAAGAAATCCTACACTGCCTTGCAATAGTAACTTGCTTTTCAATATTGTTGATCTTCCGTCCAGGTTCATCAAAAGACACTTCAAGATGTATATATGTGGTTTTAATATCGTTGATGGATCAATTCTTTAAGATGTATATATGTGTAACGTTTTAATATAAATTTTAGACCACAGTTGCAC